AGACACTACCTTTACGGGGAGAAGTGTAGGATCTTCACAGATCACAAGAGTCTTCAATATCTCTTTACTCAGAAGGAACTTAATCTTCGTCAACGGAGGTGGTTGGAGTTGCTCAGCGATTACGATTGCACGATTGACTATCACCCTGGTTGTGCGAACGTAGTGGCTGATGCACTTAGCAGGAAGTCACAGGGTCGTATTAATGCGTTGTATGCGAGTCATGTTCCTCTTTTGGTGGACTTGCGTGCTACGGGAGTGAGGTTAGAAGCAGAAGATCGAGAAGTAGCGTTACTTGCTAATTTTCAAGTTAGACCAATTCTTGTTGATCGGGTGCTTGAAGCTCAGGTAGCTGATCGGGAGACTCAAGAACTAGTCCAAGCTCGAGAGCAAGGAAGGAGGAGAGACCTCAGAGTGCGTGAATCGGATGGCATGTTAATGCAAGAAGGTAGAATGTTTGTACCTAATATTGGGGATTTGAAGAAAGAAATTCTCGATGAAGCACATATCTCAGCTTACGCCATGCACCCAAGAGCGACTAAAATGTATCATACCATTCAACCATTTTATTATTGGCCGGGTATGAAAAGGGAGATAGCTGAATATGTGAGCAGGTGTGCTGTTTGTCAACAGGTTAAAGCAGAAAGAAAGAAGCCGTTTGGGCTGTTGCAGCCGCTTCCCGTTCCAGAGTGGAAATGGGAAAATGTCACTATGGATTTTGTGTACAAGCTCCCGCGTACACATAATGGCTTTGACGGCATTTGGGTGATCGTTGATCGGCTCACTAAATCAGCACATTTTATTCCAGTAAGAGAGAAGTATTCTTTGAGCCGGTTAGCGGAGTTGTTCATTTCGAAGGTTGTGAAGTATCACGGTGTTCCTGTGAGTATTGTCTCGGATCGTGACCCACGATTTACATCAAAGTTTTGGGTAGCTTTTCAGGAAGCTTTGGGTACGAGACTACTTTACAGTACGGCATATCATCCACAGACAGACGGACAGTCAGAGAGAACTATTCAGACCTTGGAAGATATGCTGCGAGCTTCGGTGTTACAGTTCAGTGATGCTTGGCACCAGCGGTTAGATTTGATGGAATTTGCTTACAACAACAGTTTTCATTCGAGCATTGGCATGGCGCCATTTGAGGCCTTGTATGGCAAAGCTTGTCGCACACCGTTGTGTTGGTCAGAGGTTGGAGAAAGAGTCTTGGTGGGTCCGGAGATTGTCGAGGAGACTACTCAGAATGTTCAGGTAATTAGGTCAAACCTGAAAGTAGCTCAGGACAGGCAGAAAAGTTTAGCAGATCGACATGCTACGGACAGAATGTATGAGGTCGGAGATTGGGTATTTTTGAAGCTTTCACCATGGAAAGGTGTCGTGCGGTTTGGAAAGAAGGGGAAGTTGAGTCCCAGGTACATTGGACCATACATGGTCACAGAACGAGTTGGTGAGGTAGCTTACAGATTGGAGTTGCCTCCAGAGTTGGCTAGAGTGCACAACGTTTTTCACGTGTCTATGCTCCGACATTATGTTACTGATCCGTCGCATGTGATACCTCCTCAACCGTTAGAGATTAATCTAGATTTGACGTATGACGAGGAGCCGTTAACGATCTTGGATTGGAAAGAGAAGGTTCTGAGGAACAAGACGGTGAACTTAGTGAAAGTTTTGTGGAGAAATCATTCAGTCGAAAAAGCTACATGGGAGACAGAAGATCGGATGAGGGACATGTATCCTAGATTGTTCTTCGATCACTAGGGGTTATATTTGGTTGTTTTGAATTTCGGGACGAAATTCTATTAAGGTGGGTAGGTTGTGACATCCCGTCCCGGAATTATCGAAAACGTACGCGTGAAATGACAGTTTTACCCTTAGTTTGTTTTCGTTTACGTTTAGTGTTGTTTCGTGTGGTGTGGACATGTGTTGGACCACACACACACACCCTGTCACTTTCCCTCTCCCTTTGCCTTTCCCTGATTCCCTCTCCCACTGTCTCTTCTCTGTCTCTTTTCTCTCTCTCTCTCCCCGAGTCCTCTATCATTCTTCCTCTTCTTCCTTCAACGTGCGTACCACACACAAACATACTCAAAACATAGCAAATCGAGGAAACCAAGGGTGCAGTTGTGTTGGTGAGGCTGAGAGGAGTCCAGTGGTGCCATTTCCAGGTAAGGAAACCACCATTTTCACGTCGATTCTACAATGGCCGATTCATGCACTGTTCATGCAAACTTAATCTAGTTAGTTTTTGGACTTTTTAAGCTTGTAGATGTGTTGGTGAGGTCCCAAGGAGCTTGGGAGTGCTTCGTTGGACAAATTTGGACGTCGGGAAAGCTTGGTTCAAAGTTGGTCGAACTTGGATCGTTGTTGCAGGTGAGATTCCATGGTTTTTAGGCCTTAAAAGTGGTATATCGTGATTGTACTAGTCCTAAGCTTCATTTTGGTATAAAGAACGTGAAAAATGGTTGAAAAACGAGTGAGATATCGAAGTTTGAAGTTTTCCCAGTTTTCCGGCGCCGTCACCGGCGCCGGAGTCTCGCCGGAGAATGTGACGGAATATTCCGTCAAATCTGACGAAATATTCCTGACACCGTTAACGGAATCTGTCAAAACTGACGGAATATTCCTGACGGCGTCAGTTGACACCGTCAGTGTGCATGGCACGTGGCTGCGCGTGGGGGGCGCGTAGGTCCGTGCCTTGGCCGGCGCGTGCGGCGGAGGAAAAATATTCTAAAAATATGGTGGTGATCCTGAGGTTGTGTAGAGCACGTTGGTATATTCATTTGTCCATTTTGAGCAATGTATGAGAAGTTATTACGAGAAATTGGTTATGTGCTTTTAAATTAACGTTTTTGTAGTTGTTTCGCGTATAGGTGATACGTATCCCGAGGACGAGCGTGGTCACTCGAGGCAGAGGGGCTACGACCCTTCCACTTATCAGTGAGTGGGCTTTTGGTTTTCCGTATATACCTATATACATTTATATTCCCAGAAATTGGTTAAAAAGGGTTATTTGTTTCATGCCATGCACCATATGTTTGTCGTTTATGCATCATCACATGTATTAGTAGTGGCATACATATATATATGCGTATTGGGTGCTGTGGACGCACAGGTAAGTGCCAAGTAAAGGTTATTCGTATTTACATTCAGCAGTAGTTTGAGATACTTAGCGAGCTCATAACCTGCACCCCCAGTGTGAGTGCTCCCGCCCTGAGCAGGGCCCAGTCCTTCACGTGATATTCACCTCCCTGCACCTTATGCTCAGCTTGGATCCAAGCTAGGTGCACAGCCCTGTCGTACAGACCACATTAGGTGGTTCCGACTCGTAGGTGACCCGCGATTATTCGCCCAGCCTTCACGTGATCGTAGCACTATAGCGTATATATATACGTCACACCCAGTCCTGTCGTACATACCACGTTAGGTGGTTCCGACTCGTGGGCAGGTTCAGTTGTTTAGTGATTGAGATTGAGATTTGAGCTCTAGATTCAGCCGTACAGGTCACTTTAGGTGACTCCGGCTGCCAGATTATATGTTATTGATATGAGTTATGCCTGAGTACTTACATTTTATTATGAGATTCCGATGTGGCATATCTTGAGTATGATTGGCATACCTTTGAGCATGACTTGGCATATCTATACATACGTATATATGTTTATTTTCTGGGAAGTATACAGGTTTTACGGTGATGGGTTATAATGTATTTTATGAAATGGTTTTCAAAGAGCTTTGTTTTTGCCCACTCACGCTTTTGTTTTGCGCCCCTCCAGGTTCTAGTTGCTTAGCAGTTGCGGTGGTTTTCCCAGAGGGCGTCCCGACATTTCTGACAGACACTCACCATTGTAGGGTCACCTTCGGGTGTACTATTGTCGTATTATTACCTTTGGACTGCTGTAGTCTTGCTCTGAACTTAGCATTTCACTTATGTAGCACTTGTCTTAGTACCTTGTATGCTAGTTTTTAATTTATTCGTACTTTTATATACTTCTTTTAGCTTCTGCACTGCGCACATGGCTACGTCACTTCCACGTGACGGCCAGCATGCCCTGATCTCGGTTGGGGTGTGTCAATATTAATAGAACTCTCTTTTGTTAAAGGTGAAACACTATTTAACAAAACAAAATTTTGCTATTTTTTGTTTATGCCTCACCTACAAGTAATTTTAACATCTCTATATTGTTCACTTTTTTTTTTTTTACTTGTTTAGAGAAAAAATATGGAAGGAGAGAAATTTAGCAATTGCTCCAACGATGCCAAATTATGTTGTAATTTATGGATGGATGAATCTTTTCTTCTTTGGATTGGATAAACGCTAGTAACCTGTAACCGTTTGCACATGTAAGTTAGGGTGATTAGTTAGGGCTATGTGTTTTTCTGATTGCACATGATTTTCGAATCGTGTTTGCATAGGTTAGTGTAGTTTAATAAAAAAAAAAAAATTAGGAAGCACAGAAAATAACAAATCACTTTAGAGAAAATATTTTTATTTCAAAATCACTTGAATCGTGTTTGCATATTAGTGATTCTTACAAAAAATATTTTTAATATACTTTTTTATTTTTCAGGATTTATTTGTATTTTTAGTAAAGACTTTTCAAAAAATATTTTCATCAAAACCGTTTTCAGTCATTTAAAAGCACTTCCAAACAAGTTTTAAGTAAATGAAAATATTCGGGTTTCGTCCATTAATATTCTTGTAATTTCCAAAATCTCAATGGTGTTAATTATGGTAGCATAGGAAAAAAAAAAAAAAAGACATAAATGTTTGCCTCGTTTTGGTAAACCTAAACAAATAAAAAAGTTTACATGATTTTGTAAGAAACTTGTAACTTAGTCGGTTTAAGTTGGGTTGGAGTTGGAGTTGGATTTTCTTTTTAAAAAGAGGACCAACGAATGGCTTCGTTGCGGCAGTCCACCTTTCAGGAGCCGGGAAGACTCACAAAGACATTTCAGCCTCCCCGACCACCATCGTGTGATTCACCACGAAAGCCAACTGTCCGTCTTGTAAATTTCACGTATTGCTATAAAAATACACGTGCATGACAAGAATTTATAGCATTACATGTCAAGCACGTCCGAAGCCCTCGGTTTAGAAAGGGCAACCCACCCATTATGGCAAGAATGACTCTATCACTTTGCCTGTTGCGTTTTATCTGTGCATCTATATACAAAGAGTCGCTTCATGAAGGCTATAAATTATGCTCAAAGGTGTGAGGAACCTTTTTACTTGACCTGCTGCTCGCCGAGGCGCCTCTTCTCTTCCTCAACTTGTTCAAGCAATGCTACTAGTTCTGCTTCCGTCAGGCCTTCTAACCTTTTCTGCATATCCACAATTTTACCCCATTCAGGGCGTTAGGAAAACTTCCGGGAAGAATGCTGCATAATAACTCGCAAACATCTCATTCAACACACATCCGCACGCTAGACTCTCAATCTCAAAAGTGATCGCAACAAAGCAGCATCAATACTCGCTGTTAACAGGAAACTCATTACCTTCCGAAAGTAATACGGAACGCCGTTGTATCAGAATGACAGAAGAAAAATATTTAAACAGTGTTCCAAAACACATTTCTGTTTATAAAACAAACTTGTCCAGTTCAGACCCCCTTACATAAGTTTTTCTGTTTATGGCCCCTTACTACGTTTCCTTTTCGTTTATTTGTCCAATTTGGACAAATATCTAAATCCAACACTCATAACGTATTTGAGAGAGTTATGACAGACATGAGAAATTAGAAGAAAAGATACCTCCATGACTTTGCTTTCATAGTCGCGTATTTGCTGTGCATATGTCATTTCTTTATTTGAAACTCGAAAAATATACGTGGAAATCCATCCAATTGTCAGGCCCAACACCAGCACCAGCTGAACGACGTTCCCTGCTTGTAAAGGATCAACTCCAGCAAACTGCATAAAACATCACCGCAAGAAGAATTACACAACCAGAGTAGGAGTTAGCTTGAAAGGAAAGAGAGCTATCAAGAATAGAAAATTTTACGAAAAAATAAATAAATTAAATGAGAGAATAGAGTAGGCACCTCTAATCCACTTTTCAAGCCGATCCCTATAGCAGTTACTCCCAGTCCAATCAATAAAACATCCTTCCTTGAGTATCCGAACGGTTTTTTCTGTTAAAAATTAATGGAAAAGGGAGATATAATAAGAAAATCTTTCCTTCCCGGTCAGATATGACTGAGTGTTAGAACAAGACATGGTAAATCTCTATCCCAGGAACCCTCATCCCACTGACCCAAAGGACCAGCTATATGAAATAGCTCATATTCGCATTACAGAATAAAAGAATACAGAACAAATCATTCATTAGCAGTTGCTCATACATGCCTTGGCCTGATCAGAGGAGTCATCCTCACTGCTATTAGAGTCCGACGAACTGCTATTCCTGGGGATGGTCAAGAGCACCCTTTTTTGCATAATGCGGTTGATGCTATTGGATCCTTCTCGGATAAAAAGGGATGTCTCCTCTCTATATAAGCTGTGAGTCATAACTCCCCCTAACGAATTTAGTATAAAAGTAGCAATATCAGCTAAATGGCCGGTTTGTATAAACAAAAGATATAATTTGTATGCAACCCCTTTCAATCAAGTAAGTAGAACACTCCTACATATCACAGTATATGAAAACATACGGTCAGAGATAGAACAATCAAACAAAATCACGTCTGAAGGTATCTTGGGAATTTCCAAATGGATAAATCGGTCAATCATACACTATGTAAACGTTTAATTTGCAGTTTGACAGAGCATTTAGTATAGTTGCTTGAAGAGGCAAGAAATACTACGTTCCGTTCCAGAACAATATTGTATAGCACTGCCAGGCTGAGCAAGTAATACAAAAGAAGTAGCAATCAATATCCTTCCGAATATGACAAATACAATAAGGCGTGGAACACATTTAATGTTGCACGCGTGAAGAGAGGAACCGTAAACACAAAGAAATTGTCGAGCCTTTCACATCTCTAGACGGTAAATGTGCATATCATTCTCTCTAAAAATCTAAAACAATTCTTTCTGTTTTGCAATGTGCAAACCTTACACAGTTAGTTTCAGCTTAAATTCTCTGATGCTGTCTCCAAACACTTGATAGCATTTTAATCAAATGAAAAGCGAAAACCCCCCACATTCTATTAGAGCTAACCAATACAAGGCCTGTCGATTTCTCCGAAAACCAATGGAAGTTTTGCACATATACAATCAGAAAGGTGCATAAAAACATCAAATGCAACAGCCATATCCTCTACACTAGTACAATTAGACCCGAAAATTGAACGGGAAGTCTTTCGGAGCAAACCCAAGTGACTGAAGCTGAAAAAATATTCAAGAAAGGCAAGAAACAACTGACCTCTCACCAAACCATGAAAAGCTCTGGCCTTTAAGCGCATCAATGGCAGAGCCGAAATACCCAGAAGGGAAATCGGTCTTCTTTCACATGCTAAACTACAACTTGGAGAATTTCCAAGTGGGAGAGATGCCATCCTGCAATTTTCTTCGCATTACCACAAAAAACAAACCCAACAAAAAAATAGGAAATTATAATTAATCTGAGCATAAAAGGTATGAGCTAAATCAAATTCGATTGTTTTTGCATGAAATGGCACAAATTGTGAGAGAGAGAGAGAGAGAGAGTACCTGCTAGAGAGAGAGAGAGAGAGAGAGGGGGAGCAGCAGGTAACTCAAGGATTACCGTTAATGGATTGCAGATGACTGGTATACAGCCCTTCCCTCCACCCCTACTCTGGTTCAGCAGTTTTGTCTTTGCAAGGTCCCACCTTTAAAAAGATCAAGGGAGAACGGTATTTGCAGTGCATGACTACGTCATTTCTCACATCGACATTTAAAGAATTTTTCTTGACCACGTCATTTCCACAATCGACACTAAAAAGGCAATTTTCACCCAATTTTTCTCGTATTAGAGGCACCTCTATGTAATCATATGAATCATGAACTTTCATGTTCCGGAGTGTATAGGACAGCGGATCTGTATACGCCTTCCTTTTTATTTTTATGCTCTAGTGGTTGGACACCAATTAGATGAATGACAATTATTTATGCAATTTCCTTTTCATCTTCGGCCAAAAAATAAAATAAAAAAAGTGCGAAAACCACTTCTTTGAATGGAATGGGAACTTTCATGTCAACTTTTTTTTTTAATGGATTAGTTGGTGGCTTCGCCACGACAATCCACCCGTTCGGCGGTCGGGAACATTTACAGAGGCATTTGAGCTTCCCCCTAAGCACCATCGTGCGATTCACCAACACCTGGAATCAAACCCAAGAAATGCCGTATGAAATACGAGCCTGAAATTCGTCTCTAACTACTGAACTACCCGAAACTTCCATGTTATAGGGTGTATAAGGTTTGTCACAATGGTACTATATTAGGCATACTCTCCTTGATTCAATAAACAATCAAGATTTGCTTCATAATCATTTGGTTATAAAGTAAGCATACTCAACCTAAATACCAACCTAATTAAACATACAACAAAAAGCCTGTCTGAATTCCTAATAATGCCACCAAAAGATTTAGTACAATTAATTTGTTTTTGGACTCACTTGAAACTTTATTAAGCTAACATCTACCAAGATCAAGATGTTATTAGTTTGACCAATGTAGGAAACTAATTAAGCTTTAGGTTTCCCAACTTACTAATCATACAGTTGAGATTAGACAATAGCTCCGAATTGGTAGCACCTAGTTTATCAGTCTTAGCTAGCATTGGATTGTGATTGCATATCAAGCAAAATATTTGACCTTGTGACCAATTCTGTGCCTAGATACTCCTCGCTGATGTCAAATCCAAGAATGAATGTCCATGCATTTCATAGTATCCTATAATCGAATATTTTAATATATTTTAACGATCCGAACAGCCTATGTTTTAAGTTTTTTCTCAAAGATTATGTCTACCAAAAATCGTTAAAATTTGAAACCGTATGACTGTTGAGTTAAGGGTTTAGACTTTCTGTAGAATTGTATTTGTCGATTTTCTTTAGCATGAATGTCTTAATAGTTTTGAATTTGATTAATTTTTTGCAAGGATAATCTATGATTGATATTCTAAAAGATAGATAGTTTGGATCATCAAAATACATTACGTAGTGCTTCACAAAAACGTGTATAGAAAAATAGTGTCACATATCCACTCTATATATATGCATATATTTGTATGTATTTGTATAGATATACCTATATAGTAGGTGAGCCTGTAGCAGGAATAATATCAAAGAAATGGTAGGTAACCATGTCCAATCATTCGTTTGGTGGTGTCCTTAAGTGAGCCGTTTGTACATTGCCCAACAAATTGCTCCATGCTTCACCATGTGCCCTCCTTACACTGACAAATTCATCAAAATCCTATCGAAATCCTATATATTTAAAATACACTATTGTAATTATCAACACATTATTTGTGATATATAAACAGTTTGTTCTATAATAACAGACCTCTATAAAAGGGCAACATCAAATTAACAATATGCTTGCTGTTTTGTGAGAGTACGTAGAGAGAAACGTCTATCGTACACATTCATACTCTTACTTTGCAAATAGACTGTTTTGACGATTCAAACTCTTAATCTTTTGATCACAAAAAAGTAACATTTTCGTTGCGCCATGACTCGTCTTCAAAATCCACATAGGAGGTATGATACTTGTATGCTTTAGGTGTAACCAAGTGACAGGTCTCTAGGTAGACGACAAATCCATCTCATATCTCTCCCCCGCTGTCAATCATTCACTTTCATATTCATGCATGCATAAATTTCATTTATATGCACTCAAACAGACTCTTCCAAACCCCCATCCACCATACATCTCTCTCTCTCTCTCTCTCTCTCCCCTCTTCTCCTCCAAAGAGAAAACCTACCGTTTGCCTCTCTGATGGGGAATGCAGCAGTTTCTTGTGCTCCATTAATCATATTCTCAAGCAGTCCAGGAGGAGCAGCAAAAGTTTTAACTTTGGATGGAAGAATGGAAGTTTTCACAAGGCAAGTAAAAGCAGCAGAGCTAATGGTACAGAATCCAGGCCAGTTTTTGTGCGAGTCTACCACCCTCAAAGTAGGCAACAGAATCCACGGCCTCACCGCCGACAAAACGCTGGAAAGACGACGGCTTTACTTCCTCCTCCCCATGGACCTCCTCTACTCAGTGCTAACACATGAGGAACTCAGCTCCCTAACTTACAAGGCTTCAAAGGCACTCAAGAACAGTAGAGGCTTCAAGAATTTCAGCAGGATTTTTCCGGTTTTCGGAGATTTTCGCTTGTTTAATGTTTCGGAATCCAAGAGATTGGATTGTGATGATTATGTAATAATTAGTGTTACTTCAAGCCATAATCCAGAGCCAGTAATATTATTGGAGAGGTACTCAAAGCAAAGATCATGGAAGCCTGCCTTGGAGACCATTGATGAAACTACTTGCACACATTGATATCCTCTTCATTGTAATTAAATTTTGATTTATTTATTCTTGAATTAATGTTAAAAGTAGTTGATATCTAGCTAACTTTGTGACGAGAAAGTTTCGTTTATGTATTTAGATAAGTCAATTTTGTTACTGATGCGTTTGTTAATTTAAGTCGTTCTCAGACATGCAAGAAAGTCTGAATTGTCCATTCGACATTATTTTAGCTTTCCCCTAATTCACATTGTTTTCCAATATGGATGTTACAGCATTAATTAGCTGTTTATTGTGAATAAAATATGTTAATATATTTCTAATTAAAAACTGAAAATTTAACTTTCCCCCTCCAAACTCATTTTTTCTAACCTCTAGCCCATCATAAAATATTTATTCGAATAAAACCTAATGATTAGGATCCAACTAAGCAACTTACCAAATTAAGTTTGTGTGTCCGTTTTTATATTTTTTGGATCCCTAATATACCCCATCTAAGCTAGTATGGAAAGTTCTTGTAATTTTGTTTTAATTGATCACGTGCATTGAATTTGGCAAGGCCTTGTAGCCATGAAATATGGGTCTAGATAGAGGAATTAATTTGGAATTTTCTTTTTAATTTCTACAATAACTTTCAATTTGAATATACCTAATTTAGTGTTTATTTTCAACAATATCTATTGTTTAATTTTATGAAAATAATTTACCTACTATGAAAATTAATTTTATGAAAACAATATCAATTGTTTAATTTTATACCTACAGTATAATTCAATGAAAATAGTTTACTTACTATGAAAATTAATTTTTTGGAAACAATTTCTATTGTTTAATTTTATGAAAATAATTTACCTACTGTATAATTACATGAAAAAAATTTACCTACTATGAAAATTAATTTTTTGAAAACAATATCTGTTATTGTTTGATTTTATGAAAATAATTTACCTACTGTATAATTACATGAAAATTAATGTGCCTACTTTTTAAATTTGTAACAAAATTAATTTACCTACTTCTTTTTATGGTATTAGTATACATAAATGTAGAATATATGTCCGTATATATTTGATCTAATTAGATTTTGGATTGGAGGAGTTCACACAATATAAAAAATATACTAAACAAATTAAATGTCTAGCTAAAAGAAACGTATAAGAGATTTGGTGGCATGATTTTGTAAATAAGCACAAATTCATGGACATCTTTTATCTAACATGACATCATCTTTAAAATTTGGGTTTTATTTAGAAGTTATAATATATATAGGTTTTTGTCTAGAGTTTAAGAGTTGCAAGGGTTTAAATCTAAAGAACCCAATTAAAAATGGTTGGGATTAGGTTAGTCGTCTTCCTGTTGTCTTCCACCTGTTCTAAAGCTGGAAAGTGATGAAAGCCAAATCAAGAAAACCAACCACCAACAAAAGGCTTTTCGTTTTAGATTCCATGATGGTGACATTGATTAATAATATTGTTTACTTATTTGCTAAAGCGAGATTCTCTCAAATTAAAACTCGACTATTTGTTACTTAATATTTTTTGGACAATATTTTATAGGCATATTTATCGATTTGCTCTTTAAATTTGTATAAAGCTACCAATTTATTCCCTAAACTTTAATTTTAGCCGATTACCCTCTTAAACTTTTATAATTAGTCAATTTCCCCCTTAAACTTTAATTTTAGCCGATTACCCCCTGAACTTTTATAAATAGTCAATTTCCCTCCTGCGTTAGATTTTAAAAGTTTACATCCAATTTTCCATCCATCTTGATCACGGAAACAACACATGACAACTATATGAGAACAAAAAGGATGAAAAATTGAATGAAAGCTTTTGAAATCTAATGCCAAGGGGGGAATTGTCTATTTATTAAAGTTCAGAGGGGCAATCAGCCAAAATAAAAGTTCAAAGGGGAAATTAACTAAGTTAAAAAGTTTATATAAGTAATCGGCTAAAATTAAAGTTTAAAGTGAAAATTGGTAGCTGCATACAAGTTTAGGGACAAATCAACAAATACTTCATATTTTATAAAAGAGTAACGCTAAGAGACTAACATTTCTTATTAAATGCATTTGAAAACTGACTATAGAAAGTATTCAACTTTTACAGCAATTAAAAAAATCTCAATAACTACAATTTCGTTTCAATTTGTAACATAGAAACATGCATATGAGGGAAAACAAACTTCGAAGTTTCGATCAACAAGGGTTGGAAGTGTTGAATAGTATATTTGTGAAGATAGAATTGTAAATATGGATGTACATATATATGTAAATAGAGTTGTAAACATTGTTGTTAATATGTCTAAGTAGAATTGTAAACCCGCAACAATGGGCGCCTTTGCTAGTTAGTACCTAAACTGAAATTATTAGTCTAAAGTGTGATTGATAATG